CACATGAAGTTCCCAGGAAAGATGGTTCGAGAGAGATCGCTTCTTCTCATCTCTACTCTGCCCACAAAGAAACAAGTGTTTCCCCGCACCACCCCCCCGCCACACCCCTGCCCCCGCCTGAAGACAATGGAGACTGGGACTGTTACTTCTGATGGTTGGGAAATGCAGAGTCAGCAGTGTTAGAGAGTTTGAACTGAGGCATAAAACTTGAATTTCAATTTAGGCAGAATTCCTCAGGGCTTCCAGAACCGATAATGAGACTTCAGAAGTTTCTCAGCATCCTCCCTCACGACACTGGAGTGAATTTAGGGCCGCAGCTGACATAACTTAGCAGCCCAGCAAAATCTCAATGCAGTGCTTCAGATGAACGTTCCCCGAGACACTCAGTTCTCCTTTTAGTTTTATTTCTGTATCTTCTTTGCATCTGACTGCTGGGCATGTTTGGAGGGCTCGTTTTAAGAAGCTGGGGGATTCCATCATCCTTTGAGATAAACAGTCCCAGTTTTGTGCAATGCATATGCAACTGTCAGATCAGTGCTTTGCTGCCACATGTCTGCGGGACGAACAGTCAAGTCCCTTTATCCTGCTTTTGTGTGGTGATGACATATAAGAGAATTAAGACTCACAGTGCAAAAAGTTAACAGATGGGGAAAAAAAGACTCTTGCCAATTTGTTTGTGTCTTGTAAATTTTGACAGAATTCTGTCCCTGCTCCTGGGGACTTTATGATCAAACTTGAGTATTGCAAGGTAGCATAGTAAAAGGCCACTGTGGGCAATGTAGCTATAGTTAGCACATTCGGGGGTGAAGACTACAATCCAAGGCCCCGCACAATGTCTCAATTGGCTAATCCTCCCCCTCCAAATGCCAGGATCCCATCTGGGCACCGGCTTAGGTCGATCCAGGAACTTCTTCCAGGTCTCTCACACAGGCTGTCCTCTACTGCTTTCCCAGGGCACAAGCAGGGAGCTGGATGAGAAGCGGGGCTGCCAGGATTAGAACCGGCACCCATATGGGATCCCAGCACTTTCAAGGTGAGGAGTTTAGCCACAAGGTCACTGCACTGGGGCCCTAGTCAAAAATTCTTAGAAGATAGGAGGAAAGGAGTTTCATGTCTCGGTAATAGTGAAGCAAAATTGGTAGGCAGAGAAAGCTCCCGGGTTTTAGAAGAGAATAAGTTCCTTCAGACAGATAAGCCAGTACGTGGAGAAAGACTACTGAGCTCCCACAGAAAAGGAACCATGTCCCAAGCTGTCATTTTACAGGCAGCTTCCGAGCTAGGAACCCACGATTGGAAGCAGACCAACCTATACCCAAGTCTACCCACTTCTTTTGGCTGTGGGCACTTACGGAAGTTAGTTTGCCACCAGCAGAGCAGCATCTAGTTCCTGAATATTTGGATAACAAAAAATATCAACAGAATTACCCCAGGGCTTTTGAGCAAGAGAATAGTGGTGATTTTTTTTTAGAGATTCATTATTCATTGAAAGGTAGAGTGACTAAAAGGTACAGAGGGGGCTAAGGGGTCGTCAATCTTCCACCCACTCGCTCAGTCCTCTCCCAATAGAGCAGGCTGAAGTCAGGACCCAGGAACTCATCTTGATCTCCCAGATGGGTGGCAGTGGCCCAAATGTTTGGGCTTTCCCTTGCTGCCTTCCCAAGTGTGGTAACAGGGATGCAAATTGAAATACTGCAGTATGGACTCAGTCCATTGCACCAGTGTGGAATGCAGGCCTTGTGAACACCAGCTTAACATTCTGTGCGGCAATATCCACCACAGTAATGTTTGAAGCAGTGGCCGAAGGGGGCATTTAAAGGTAGCCTCCTACGTGATATTTGGTATGGTGTCATTACTAACCAAATGTTAACTACTGCCTTTTCCATAGACTTTTCTCACTGGTAATCCGGACTGTAGAATAGAAGAATCATGTGTTGTGTCATTGTAATACACTCAGCAGCAATACTGGAATTTCCTTAACAGTAAGGAAACCGAACAGCTCAAAAAGTGTAAGTCATAGAGTGGGGTATGCTTTGAGAGGGTTGAGAAAATACCTTGGAGATAGCAGGAGACAGATCAAGTGCTTGAGATCCTGCCACGCAGGTAGAGAGCCGTTTGGAGCTCCAGGCTCCTAGCTTTGCCATGTGGGCATTTGGAGGTGATTCCGTGGACAGAGAATGCCAACTTTATTGTCACTCTATCTTCCAAAAAAAAAAAAAAAGCCTGAAGTTCTCTGATTTCATTAAAAGGCCAAGTTTGGGGACCAGTGTTATGGTATAACACGTTAAGCCACTGCCTGCATTCCATATGGATAGCAGTTGAGATCCCAGCTGTTCCACTTTTGATGCAACTCCAAGCTAATGTGCTTAAGAAAGCAGCAGAGGATGGCCAAGTCCTTGAGCCCCTGCACCCACGTCAAAGATCCAGAATAACTCCTAGCTTCCGGCTTTGGCCTGGCTCAGCTTCTCTCCCTCTCTCTTTTAGATAAATAAATCCTCAAAAACACTTTCTTAAAAACCCAGTCTTCCCACTTGTTGACTGTTTCTTTACGCACAGGGAGTCTCCCTTCTTACCCCCATATGCCTCCTGTTGCCGGTGCCTGTTGGATGGCTACAGTAGCACTCACATCTGTGAGGTAAATGTGAGTCCTTCCCTAACTCATGAACATCCCTCCCATACAGCATGGCTGACCCAGGCTAGGTGACCCCTGCTTACACAGCACCTGTTGCTGGAGGAATGCCAGCCTCTGATTCACTTAGGCCGTGGTTCCAGAACCGGTCAGCAGCCAAGAAGTTGGGATTTTCATGATTATCGGGGCCCGCTCCTGGGCCTGAGCTCAGCTTTGGCTGTAAAGGGGCAAAGCCAGTCTCCACTACGGGAAAGTGAACTCCACCTCCTGCTTCCTCATGTCCTTGAGCAAGTTCTACCTCCCGGTTGAAGCTCCATCTTATTACCTGCCAAACTGGGGACACAATTGAATAAATTCTTCACAACATTGGGGAGATGAATTGAAATACTGCTGAAATGAATTTTAAAGGAAAATCTTTGCAGAGTGGTGTGCAGTAAGCATCTAGAGCTGGTAATTATTATGCAAAGGATTTGTTTCGTATTATAATTTTTAACATACTTGCCTTTGTGAATAAAGTCTACATTTTTTTAAAGGTTAAGAACAACATTGTTTTCTCTTTTTTTAATCTTTGACTCTTGCATATAATCACTACCCATCTTACTTCTTTAACACATGAGGAAGCAGATGAAGTCTGGTGAGTGATTGAAGAAAGGGCAAAAAGTAGGAGGTAGATTTAAAGGAAAGATAATCTGATTGGCGTCTGGGGAGATGATAGGTCAGACAGGGTATGTGGAAAAACTGGGACTGTTGGGATTGGGTAGGCGTGAGGGAAATAATCTGTGGAGAGGGCCTTCACAGGAGGCTGAACAGCTGCGGGAATGATCAGACCAAATGCCATTTGAGTGCAGGGTCCTTAGCGTACAGAGCCATGACGTCTTTGGATTATTTGGTTTACAGCTTGAGAAATAATTCGTATTTGATAAAACTTGGTTAAGGCTTATGAGAGCTATAGGAGATAGGATAATTATAATAATAAGAGCTACTAAATGTGTGATTTATGACCCAGGCATTGTTGAAGGTGTTTCTGTCATATCAACTCATATGACCCTCAGAAGCAACCTATAATACTACCCCTTTCATCCACACCACCATTTGTGGACAAGACAAGCCTGGAGAGACTGAGCAACCAGCTCAAACCACATACAAAGTCAACAGGAATGTGTGTACTCCTTGAGAGACAACTAGTGATGGCACAGGGTCCCTGCTACCCACATGGGAGACCCAGATTGATTTCCAAGTTCATGTCTTTGTGCTAGTCCAATCCTGGCTGTCACAGGCACTTCAGAAAAGCAGCGGATGAGTCTCAACCTTTCTCTGTCTCACTCACAGAGATGAAAAGACATGGCCTGAAGCTCACGACATGTGTGTTCCTCCAGCCTTTGCTTTTGTAATTCCCTCCATTGTATAATGACTGTGGGGAGTGCCAACTACACAAACATTTGCAGAGTGAATCGTTGTGTGGATGGGTTGATGGACAGGCAGATGCCAGTATTTGTACGGTACTCATATGATGGCCGTGGCAAACCCACCTCTTCATCCCTCCCCAATTGGAAGATCATCTTAAAAGCTTGCCATGCTTCAAGATGAGACAGCCTGCTTTCCAGTATTATTTGGAGTAGTGTGAAAGGACCACTTAAAGTCCTTGTGTTTCTGAGTATACCCTGAAGGCTGCAGTAGGTACAAAATTGTGTGTTCCTGTCTGGACATTCAGAATTCTTGGTGAATTGTGGAGAAAACGCAAAATGAGTTGTCTGAATTAAGGGGAAAGTTAGTCTGGGGTTCTTCAAGGAAATTAGGAGAACATGAGATGAGGGGCTATTAAGCTACCACTTTCCTCCAGAGGAATTATGCAAATAGAACAACAAAGACATAACTACCACTAGGAATTACTTGATTGTGTTGTAACCTGGAGCTGCCTTTGATCAGCCTTGCACTTGAACTTGCTGCATTTCCCATATAGCCTGCTGCTTCTGCAATGAACATGCAAGGAAGGGCCTTGAAGACTCCCCTTTGTTCAACAAGAACTGTAGCCCCTATCCCACAATGAGGTTTCAAGAAGCCAGATATATCACAATACAAGGTTTCTAGATCCACCTGTATAAATTCCAATCTTGAAACACACTGAAAGTGAGTGGTCAGATTTATACTGGAAATTTCTCTGCCCATTATAACTTTGTGGCCTCATTTTTGCCCAGAAAACTCTCTTAATAATTAAAAATAAGCAAAATCACTATTATTTGCTTCTTTCTTTATATATGTCATCCAAGAGAAATATTTGGGAAATTACTTTCACATTTAAAAGTGGAAGGCAAGTCTTTTCTAAGTTGATCTATTTAAGGGATCTGTATTTACTCTTACCTGAAAATATCTTTAGCTTGCAGTTTCGGAAGGAACAAAATTGAAACTCCTTGAACGAATTTCCTGGCTAGAGGAAAAAATAAAGACTCTGGACCAAAGGGAAACCAGTGGCAAATCATATGAAAAAACAATTCAGTTGAAAGACCAGGTATGTTGGAGAAGAGCAATCATCTTTATTCTATATGATACTTCAATCTTATGTGAACTCACAATTCTCCAAACCCATTTTTGGCTGGGATGAAAGTTCACACTGGTAAATTAGACTTAGCTTTTCTGAAAGTAGCAATTTGTGTATGAGTATTGGCATACATTAAAAATTTAATTATTTTTTAACAGTTCTAAAGTTTGATATGTGTCCTTTTGAGTATTTATTTATTTTGTAGATGGCATCGATTGCAAAGGTTTCTTAGCTGTGAAGGTTCAGTCACAGCAAGGAATAATTTTCTTTGTAGTAAACCACATAGATCATAAGATTTGGTATGTTTTTCATTGGTTGCTTTATAAGAGAAATCATCTGTGAATCTGTGAACATGTGTATGTGAATCATTATATAAGGGAAGTTCATTGGTATTAAAATTAAAGGATATGTTTATTTGGCTTTGCCTTGTATAGATTTATCTCTTGTTTCGACTAAATGAATGGTAATTGCTTCTGAAAAAAACTACTTCTCAGCCTTTTGGCTAAGATCAAGTGTGAGGCATACTGGTGAACATACATAGTTTTAGGCCCTGCTAGCATTAGCATAGTCCATCGAGCTAGTGTATTTTTGTCCCCTTGTCCTGAACACATTTATGTGATTCTTTCTTGGGCTAACCCATGCCAGGGAAGAACTGGATTGGGAGGCATGGTGTCTCAGAGGCTGAATCGCAGACCATCAGTTGGGATGAGGCTGCCATTCACACAGGTGAAGAGCTGGGCCACCTTTGTATCAGGGGTGTTTTGAAGTTGTCAAAAGGCTGTACACTAAGCTTTGTTCCTTTACAGTGCATCGAAAAACTGCAAGCTGAGGTCAGAGCTTCCCAGGAGCTTCTTTCAGCCCATGTGAGTGCTGATCTGCTTTTCTAGCCCTCAATTTATAGCATTGTTATAATGAAATTGTGCCGTAAATTGTCTGTATGGCTTGATGGCTATAAATCAAATCCCGCAGCTGCAAATCAGTGATTTGACTGCCTCTGCACAGTCACTTTCTATAAGTTCAATTCTGGTTTTTGGTAATGATTTTTAAAAATGACAAAAGGAGTTCCTATATATTATCACATGATCAAATGTGGTCTTGTAAGAACAGAACTGATAGCTACAGGTAGAAGGCAGGAGAGGTCGGGCTGCTTTAGTAGATGGAGGTGGAGAGTTGGGACGGTGGATAAGACATAGAATACAGATCAGGAGTGGTACATCCTAAACTTTGGTGCATATAAGAAAAGCTTCCCAAAGCAAAGTGCCAGGGATTCCTGTCTGTCTAGGGTGGGGCCTGAGACTTGGTCTATCCAGGTGATTCCAGATTGAGACGATGCCCTTGTTGGAATGTTTAGGAACTGACTATATAAGCCAGAACACGGCTTACTACTTCATCCTGCAAGTATTCTCCATGGATTCCCAGGGCAAATAACATTAATCCTCAAGCCTGTGTTGGCTCAGGAAGTAACCAATGTGGTACATCTCCTGCCACATTAGCCTGTGTATTCACACTTCTGCACCTGCCTCCCTCCACCTCCAGAGAATCAGAACAGCCCCAATGTTGCAGAGTACTTCCCCCACACCTCTGCTGTGCTCTGATAGTCACCTCCTCCATCCTGTCTGCTGCGGGATGGCTTGACCAAGGAAACTGGTCAGGCCTATCTGAACAAATCAGGGGTCTGGGGAGCTGCCGTCCAGTGGACCTGCAAAAGAAGACCAAGAGTTAATAGATCGTTCTGGGGTTTCAAGTGAACTCCTCTAGGGGAAATCTTGGTCACTATCCCATTGTTTGATGCTGTAGGGAAAGAAAATCGGATGTGCCATGGCAGTTAGCTCAGAGTATTTAAGTAAAAATTCAGAAGCTGCTTTGGCTTCACATGGCCTGTGACCAAAACTGAACATGACCAAGGCCCAGATTTGTGGCCCTGTGACACATCTAGGCAGAAATGAGCCTCACGGGTCCAGGAATCTGATGCTGATGCCTCCCCACCAACCTTGATCTATTAACCTTGATTGACCCGGAGGTTGCCAGGCACGTGACTGTTGTCAGGCAATGTTCCCTCCTGACAGATTGGCACCTGTAGACACAGGCAGGGAGGGGGTTCCTGGCCTGGGAATATTTAAGGAGAGCAGTTGTGGTCTCTCAAATTCTGATATTAACTTCCAGCATTACATCATGAAAATAAAAGTCATTGCTAGCATTGTGAGGAGATTCCTTTGGGTCCCACTTCTATTGCCTTATTTCATTGGGATCCCATCACATGTGGTTTCTTTCCTCTGTTTGTGTAAACTGTAATTTCTCCCTCCTATTAAAGTTGGAGTGAGATCCCTTGCAGGTTGTTGTTTACATTTCAATGTAGCAATGTGTTCATCAAGGTTGTGCTTTAACTCATCAGAAAAACTCTAAATGAAAAACAATTTTCTTAGCACTATTTATTGAGAGAGGATTGTATGCCTTTTATATGAAAATTGCTTCATATATTATCTATGTAAAAGCCCAATCCAAGCCAATTATGTGGGCATTATTTTTCAGATAAGGAAACTGCATCTTAACAAAGGTTAGATCACTCATCACGCTCTGAAACCCACGCTTTTGCTATCACAACTTTTTGCCTCTCCAAATTATATCCTCCACCTGCCATTGAAGTGTCAAATGGTGTTTGTACAGGCTCTGTCTCCAGCCAGCCTCCTTCTTCTCTCTTTTTATTCACACCCAGTGATTCATCAGTTCCTAAGGCTTCAGCTTTCACTTCCATGCAAATAAACAACAGATTCCACCCCCACTGGGTTCCTTGTATCTTAATCATCCTCTGATTATAGCTCTGCAGTGTTTTCATGAGCATCTCTTAAAACATTGTTCTTGGAAAAAGCATTCCATAGGATGCTAAAAGGTATTTGGGGAGGGGGGAGGAAAAGAGAGATCAGAAGCAAAATGGAGTTAAACATCTTCTGTCCCCATCTTCTAAATCCCTTTGTATTTCCCAATGTTTGTATTCCCATGTTTTATTCTAAATTCAGACTACAAAGCAGTGTAAAAATCTTAACTCTCTGCCTTTGTCCTGCTTTTAGTTAGTTGTCAGGTCCTCAGTATGTTGCAACAAATCACCCACCTTTGTGTTTTGCTCCCTGCCATATTGCCATTTCCCTAGATCTTTTTAATCATTTGATTTTACTGGTTGTGGCTGGAACCACAGTGTTAGGACATGTGAAGTCAGAGCCTCCCCTTGGCTACACTCCCCGTTGGGGGTTAACCTAGATGACCTCATCAAATCCCATGGGCAGAGAAGGGACAAAATCCACATGTAGAGGCAGGATGTAGGTCCAGGAACTCAGACACAGTGGAAGGATGTCACCCCTGGGGAGAAGGTGACCCTCTGCAGTAGCTGAGAAGAGAAAAGCACTAGGATCCGAGGGGAGTGAGGGCAATGGAGCGTTAGAGATGGAGTGCAAGTTGTTTGGGAATGAGGGATTGAAGGGTTTCCAAGAGGCCTGTGGATGTTGGCAGTCAGGAGGTATCAAAGCATGTTAACTGAGTTCCTGGCAGCATGTAAGGTTCTTGATCCCCCTTGGCGATGCAGAGTCAGGTATAAAGTTCAGACGCCCAGTTAGGTCTGTGCCTCCTTTCATCTAACTCCTATAGGAGCTGACCAGCAGTCACCTCCTGGTTTCTTTAACTCTGTCCCATATGAATCTTTTCCCATCACACTATTTTCTCACCCCATCTCACCACTAGCCTCACTCTGAGCCCATGGATGAAGTGGAGCCCTCCTCATGCTTGACATCTCCAGTGTCCCTTGATGCTCTGTGACCTTGTTCACTGTGCTCTCTGGGTCTGGAACACCTTTCCTTCTCCCAGGCACCAACACTCTGCTGGCAGACTTCGACTCAGTCCTCACATTACTTTCCCTGGATTCCCACAGCCTCCTGTACAGACATCAATTTGAGCTGTTAAAGGAAACGCTTTCAACAAACTAAATTTAACAGAGTTTATTTGAACAAAGAACAATCCGTGAATCAGACAGCACTCAGAACAAGAAGTTCAGAGAGCTCTGCCCGGCATCGTGAACTGTGAGCTTTATAAAACCAAACACGGAAGCGAAGTTGAGAGATCACCTGATTGGCTACAGCTTAGCATTTGCCTTTTTTGTGTGTTGGAGGAATGAGACATTCACCTTATTTCAGCATGGTCTGATCAGTTGGCTGCCAGTGATTGGCTGCAACCCAACTGTATGTTGCAAAAAAATGGACTCCTAAGAGGGTCTTGGTTGTTTACATGCTAAGTTAGGTTGCAGTTTGATGCTTAGGAACTCAAAGGATATGGAGAGCCTCAGGCCATTAGCCTGTTGCATGTTTAGCATAGAACAAGTCAATATACTACACTGCATTGACATTACTTGTTTATCTGTCTGTGTCCCACTAGATGCTAACATCTCTGAGCACAGGGCCAAGCTGGTGTCTTTGCTTTTGTGACACTAGTGACAGGCCTGTACATACAGTGGCTGCTATGACACTCATACACTTGTCTGTTCAGTCAAGTCCATTGAATCCTGCTATGTCAAGAATTACTTGTGCAGGAGGACAACTTCCAGGTGTAGGGGGGTGCTCTGAGACCCATGGCATCTCTGCTGCGGGGGGAGGGGCCCCTTCTACTTGGGTAGGCAACAGAGCCCCATTACCTCCAGGAGACTAGCACCAGCCACTCCAAGAGGAGCTCAGAGGGGAGGCCCATCCTGCAATGGAATGGAGCCTGAATTTGCAGGACCACTCAGTGAATTTAGTTCTTCCACTGAGCATCATCTTGGGGTCAACTGGAAGTGCAGGGTACGGCAGGGTGTCCGAAGATGATGCTCTGACCAATGTGTAGCTTCTAAAGGTTGTGAGTGAGAGCATCACCAACTGAATCTGTTATCCATGGAACTGGCTCTGGGGGAGCTGCTTGGGATCATTTGTGTACTCAGTCTGGTCCTCTCTCCCACCTTATCTGTACTGGAGACATCTGGAACCCCCAGGTGCACCATGCATCTGTGCCCCAGAGGCTTTTCATGGTTCATGGAGTTTGCTACATTTTTCTCATTATGCACCAAACTGCTTTCTTCCATGGGAGGGCATCTGGCAGTTAAATTGGCTGTTAGGACCATGGAGTGATACCCTCCTCTGCCTCTGGATTCCAGCTTCCTGCCCTTGCAGGTCCTGGGAAGCACCAGGGATGGCTCTAGTTGTTGTACTTCTGGCACTCACGTAGGATACCTGGACTGAGTTCCCCTCCTTTGCTCTTGGCCTTGGCCTGGCCAGTCCTTCTTGTTGTAACAATTTGAAGAATGAGCCAGTGGATGAGAGCCCTCTTACTTAACTGTAACATATCCCTGTACCTCACAAAGAAATAAAACACATTTTAGTTGCTGCTTCTAGAAAGTTCTGCCTGTCCATCCAGTCCTGAGTAGTTTTCCCATCCTTGATGTTCTCATAGTTCCTCTCCTGAGCTCATGTCAATCACCTTTTACACTGTGCCCCACAAAATGATGGGGTGTGACTTTTTCTGAGGCTGAGATCTTGCAGAATGCCTTTTAATAAGTCTTCCAGTGCCTGGATCAATGTCTTACACAATTTTCTTTTAAATGAGTTGTTATGATGACCACGTTAAGGGTCAGTGCATTGACTAAGCTGACTAATCTTCCACCTACAAGTGCTGGCATCCTATTTGGGTGCCAGTTCATGTCCCAGCTGCTCCACTTCCCATTCAGCTCCCTGCTTGTGACCTGGAAAAGAAATGGAGGGTGGCTGAAAGCCTTGGGAGTTTGGAAGAAGCTCCTGGCTGCCAGCTTTATATTGGCTCAGCTCCAGCTGCTGGGGCCATTTGGATAGTGAAC